CAATACCCGTTTATAATGGAGATAACTAGTGAGGTAAATTTGAATGTACTCATATTTCAGTGTTTTTAATACATACACTGCAGATGTCTTGTCTAACAGGAGAGCACTGCACATGGCAAGTCAGGGAGGAGAAATCAACAAGCCTTTCCTGCGGATAATGAGATGTAAATGCAGGACTGAATATTATTATGTAGTTGTCTTCCTGGGAGAACAATTTGATGGGTTATGCTAGCAAAAAGCCCCATGAGTGATGCTTCAGTGCCTGTCCTGGTCAGTGATGGTTTCTGTTAGTAATTAAGAGCTGACTCATGGCTGCTTCTCTCAAGAGACAAATGTTTCTACAGCTAGTGGCAGAAAATTAGATGGTTTTCCAATATACCCAAGAAAGCTGCCATTTGTACTGTCTTTTGAATAGGGGCAGGAAATTTCAGAGCATTTTAAGTGGTTTGGAAAAAAGGCTTATAGTGTTTTAACTCTCCTGTTTGGCATTATTTAAAAAAATTGGATGAGGGTTTTTTTTTTGGTTTCTGGTTTTCTATTGGTTTTTCTGAGTGCGAAGGGAAATTTCTGGAGTAATGTGTAGACACTTGTCAATAAAAATCTCTTCTCTAAATATTAGTGATGACTGGCAAAACTTTATCAGCTACAGCTGTGGATAAAAAAATGTTAAACTGAAAAGCATCTATTGTAAATGACTAGGAAAAGGCTTTAGAAATTTGTGAAAAAATGGATAATCATACAAAAGATTTTCACTGTAAACCAGTAATTTTGAATTATTTTAGAAAAAGTAAAAAGTTTTTCTTCTTTTAGAAAAAAAATTAGCCAGTGAATTTCCTGTAATATGTATTTTAATAGATTTATTATGAACAACCATGGCAAAAATAAAACATAACTGTATGATATGACCATGAAAAGTAATAGCCCGTTCAGAGGCCAAACTTTTGCATAAATTAGTCAAGAATATTAAAAAATATGATCATGCTGGAAAGGTGACATGAACGCTGAATTAAGCAGAAGAAAGAGTACAAAAAGAAGATTATGCAGAGATTTTATAATGAAGGGATCTCTGAAGAGTAATAGAAATTGATCAGTACTGGGAATCAAATTTCTGACTGGAAAGATTTCAGATAACCATTTAGGGGCGGGTGAGGTTATGTTGTTCTAGGTCTGGAATAGTTTTCTCTCACTAATAAGATGAGTCTATTCAGCATCCATCCTTAGGAACAGAGACTACTGTCCCCTGCAAGCTTGTCCATTGTAATGAATATCATTCCCATATGTTATTGCAATGGGCAACCGAATCAGTTCTCACTAGACCACAAGTGTGCTGGGTTACTGGCATGGCTTACTGATACATAATTGCACAACAGGTAATGAGATCTAGAGGAATATTTTATTCTGCTTTACCCACCTTGTAAAATTGAGAGAGGAAGGATGTTGTTTAAAGAAGTTGTGCTGTGCCTAGGGCTCAGCAGGTAATTTCAATAGAATCCTTCTTAAGCTTGTAATGAACAAGTTTTGGTCCTTCTAATTGACATGGTAATAAAAGAAAGCCTGAAAATAACATGTACTTTTAATACTATCTTTCTGAATTTCTCCAGTAAAAAAACACAATGGCATAGGGTGCCATTTGTGTTGTTTACCCTCAATACAAAATTTTAAACTCATATTCGTTGAGTAGCTAGTGCTCATCCAAGTATGTAAACCTGATTAAATGATCAAATATTTGGCATTTCTTCAACTATGCATGTGTGGAAAACAGACACTTAAATCTCACAGGAAAGATCTAAGTATTATGGAGGCAACACTGTGAGTGGTTCTCATTCCCTCCGTTGTTTAAGGGCTGATGCTGATTTCTCTCACAATAGCTACCCCAATTATCTGAAGACTTTAGAAGTCTTTCAGAAGTTTTGATTACAGCCAATGGCATCCTAAAGTAGGCCAGGGATAAAAGACTATCTCACAGTTCGTGAATAATTGAGCAGGCTTTTGTATAACAATGAGATGCCATATGAAAGGCAAATGTTTGTTTGCTGTTTGCTCACATCTGCACCTATTTATTCATATTTATAGGTAAATTCAAATGCTAATGCTTTTTCAAACACTGAAGTACAAACTTTCTATTGGTATAATAAAGTAAAAGGCTGCTGAAATGCAGTGGAACTCTATATGTTTATACCATCTTTAAAATTAGATTAAAAAGAGTAAAATCCAGATTCAAGGATGTACCTTGGTGTATGTACATACCATATCAGGAGTCCTCTTTGAACCATTTCATTCTTCAGATGTCTTCTCTTCCTAAAGGTCTGAAAAAAACAGATGCCAATAAAAGGAAGCGATAACAGTTTAAAGGGCAAACTTATGGAACTCTTGCAATTCGGTGTTCTTTAAAAGCAAGGGCTGTTCATTCCTGCAGTCTATGTGCTAAAGCCTTTGAATTCATCCCAGTTCTGAAATCTGGGGAAAGGGCTGGTAAAGAGCATCCTTAAAGATAACTAGCATCAAGCCCTAGAATTCCATGGATGCTTTGTAGCACCCATTAATGAGGTTCTTCCTCTAGAATTTCATCAGCTTAGCTGCAAACCCTCAAACTCGCTTTCAAGCTGTCCTGAATTGCAAAAAAGACTGAAGGTGTCATTCAGGATAACCTACTCGTTTGTCACTGAAGGAAACGCTTTGGAGTATGCATTAGATGACCTTTTATCCAGAAAATGTTCTCATCCTCACAGAGAAATCTGACTCCTCAACTGTGAAGTCTAGTTGCTTTTTTTTAGGGATATTTCTAATGTACTGGATCTAATATACTTTGCATTAAAATGAAATATGACTGTGCTATATATAAATATATATATATATTTAAAAAAAAAATCAACTCCTACCAACCTTCAAAAAAGTTTGATTAATTGACATAAAGTATCTGTTACATTATCATCAGCTGTCCAAAATTCAGGTAATCTGTAAAATGCAGATTTCATGGCTATGCCAAAACCCACCACCACTGGTGATGTGGCCTTGGGTTGTTCTGTATTTTCTAAAGAGAATTTTTTGAAGACTGTAAACAATTAAGGGCAGATGATGAAAATAAGAAAATCAAGGAAATGAAATGAAGACAGTGGGTTTTACACTGAAAATGAATTTTCTCCTCAGAGTAAGACAGATGAACTGAAAATACACATAGACTAAAAAAACCACCCAAGATCCCAGAAGAACCAGGAGTATTATTAAAAACAACACTTTTATTAAATTAATAAATATGTCTGCTTTGGACAGTTGGTGCTGTCACTTTTAGTAAGGTCTAAATAGTGTGAATATTCTATACTTGTGTGTGCAGCTTTTCACTCTACAGCATTGTGTAGTTAATATGGTTTAATCAAGAAATAACTGTGGGAGCAGTGCTATACCTTTGGCAAAGTCAAGTTGCAACACTGCCTAGATGTTATTTGAAGAAAGTACTATCTAATAAAGATGGTTTATGATGTCCCACAGTGTAATGTCTTTTTTTTTTTTTTTCAGGAAATATGTTATTGTCTTTGCTTTTCCCCAGGTTAGGTGAAGTAATTTCTGAGACAGGAAGTACAGTTGTACAGTTGACACTTTACAACCTTAGTTGAAAAACCCTAGGAACTGTATGCTTTGTTAGCTGTATACTTGCAGAGGATTTAACTAAATGCTATGCTTCCTGACAAAAGTCTTCATAGTTAAATTTATTGATACTGTCGTCCAATGGTAGGTTTTTAAAACAAAACACTTATTTTGACTGATAACATTCATCTGAGGTAATGGCAACAGTATAGTGTCAGTATTATTATATCATAACGTGGTTAATTAAGCTTAATTATTTTAATGATACTACATTTGCTGCACATAGTTTAAACAGCATCACATTGAGGGGAAAACTCTCTGCTCATACTTCCTTGATATTTTTAATTCTTTTCTTTTTGGTAATGGGAGATATGGTTGATTCAACTTAAATAGTACTGTATTTCTTGTCCTGTGTCATTAAATTTTGTAGAATTTATACAGAAATAAGGCTCTTCACATATGACCAGTGGAATCATTACCTAGCATTGGGTTTGGGGTTTTTTTCAATGTATCCTTGAATTAATAACATAAAATTCTGTATGGTATTGTTTATAGAGCTGTGCCAGTATTGAATAGGATAATGAAGTAAACTACTGTCATAGATTATAAAACTAGATTAATATCTAATCTCTTACTTGCATAATATAGTCTAGAGGATTATTATTAGTCAGCTTCTCTTTGAACTGCAAATATATGATTATATGATAATTCAATCCCTGTTTTAATATTCTCTTTATGGCAAGTAAGAATGCTTGGTAGGTAGTCTAATAAAGTACCCTTGTTGTTTAAAAATGCTTTTAAAACCAAATCTAGTGTGTTTCTCATTAAAATGAGAGGATAATACTGTTTTGCCTTGTACTTTCTGGAGGATTTTATTTTTCTCTACATGCTCTCAGTATTTAATAATCTGCATAGTTTTTCCGTAGAAAGTTTGTCATTGAACTGAGAGAACTAGATGTTCTTGTCCAGTAATGGTCACATTAGTGCTCACTTCAACCTTGTGGGTTTTTTCTGTGTACACAGAAAAGCGATGCTAACTGCTGATTACTGTGTTCTGTTAAAAGCTGCAACAAGTATTTCTCAGTGGTATCACTACTGTCACAGAAATAGAGCACAGACAAATGTAAAAGATAGAAATGTGTAAAGTGATTTCTGAAAGTACATTTTGTAAAGGCAGTCTTAAAATTCCTCTCATACTCAAAGTTCATGGATTTACTTCCATCTCAGGAATTGTCAAATTTGGCATTCATGAAAGAAATTGAAGTAAAAAGTCTACAAAGGACTGACAATCAAAAAGTATAGAAAGACAAATTGAGTATACTTGTGTAGAAATTATTGATGTTCTCAGAATATTTGCATTTATGTTACTGTCCACCTTTTAAGAAAAAACTAATAGAATCCTTTGGTTTTGTTTGCAGATTTTCAGGCGTTGTTGGTTGGTTTTCAAGAAGGCTTCCAGTAAAGGGCCCAGGAGGCTAGAAAAATTTCCAGATGAGAAGGCAGCATATTTCAGGAACTTTCACAAGGTAAGTCATGTCTTTCTGGTGAAGTGAAGCATTGCCTGTTTATCACTCATCCTTGGGAATCGTGGTCTTGATATGTCTAGCTTGCAAACAATACAGTTAGGTTGAAAGCCTAATCCTGACAATAATAGCACTTTAAAACATCTCTAAGTCTCAGTGATGCAACTGAGATATCACACTGGTTTTTCCCAAATGAGCACAAACCCCTCAATGCGTGTGAAGTTACAGAATAATGTGGTCTTTTTGATTTAAACATTAGCAGTTCGGGAATGTGTAAAATTGGGTGCCTATTCAAATGTTTAATCAGTAATTATTAACTAAGTATTGAACAAATTCTGAAAATGCTAAATGCTTCAGTTGTAATGGTGACACTCATTGAATACATAAGGTTTTTCCCAGAACTCTTCGAGGTTTAGAAGGTCTGTCAATGACGAGGATTTTTAGCAGTAAAAACACAGGATTCACTGAGTGAGATACTCCCTGCTTTCTCTGTCACTTGCACTTCTGTGATGGGAAACAAGATATTTAAGCATAGGTTCTTCTTTCTGTCTTGTAAAGTACTGTTAGCCCCCCTCTCAAAGTCTGCCAGTAGACTTCACATTAGTTAGTCCTAAAATAGGGCAGGGCTCTGTGCTTGTACTATCGTATTCTATCAAGTCACCTTTAGCTTATGTCATGTCAGTGTTAAATATTACATTAAAACTGTCAAGTTGAAACACAAGGAAGACTCAATCAAGGGCCACACAGCAAGGAGTGAAAAAGTGTGGATATAAGCCTAGATCACACTCTTCAACCCTTCCCCTGCTCCAGCATGGGGGCCCTTCCATGGGACAAAGTTTTCCACAAACTACTCCAGAATGAGTCCTTCCCACGGCCTGTAATTCTGCATGAGCTGCTCTGGCATGGATCCCTCCCATGGGGTAGAGTCCTTCAGGAACAGGCTGCTCCAGCATCTGCAGCATAAGCTCTTCTCTCCATGGGCCCACAGGCCAGGATCCTGCTCCAACGTGGGCTTCCAACATGGTCACAGCTTTTGTAGAAGCCTTTGGGCAAAGCTATTTTTTTTAAGTTCTTTCTTGAGCATGTTATGCCTATAGCATACTTTATTTTTAAGGCATCTCTGAAAGACTTTATATGTTGTTTGTCAACTGTTGTCATTGTAGAAAAATAATATGAAATGCAAGAATTGTTTGAGAAGCTAAGATAATAACATAGATACAGATGCAGATGAATGTTGTAGTACTGATGGAGGAGTGACCATCTGCAAAATGGAAAGGAGGAATGTTACTCTTTTTCATCCCTTTTTTTCCTTCTTATTCCACTTCTTGAGCACAAGGAGTGGGATGAGAAAGAAATGAATACTCTTTCCTATTTAAAAGGATAATGGGCTTCTGGCTGTAGAGAAAGAGGAATTGTATCCATTCACTTGGATTGTACCCATTTTTCAAATAAGGCCATGAAATCATTTATGAAGGTATATATTCAAAAATAGAAATCCTGAATCTTATTCACTGGCTTGATTTTTTTTTCCCAAGGATATTTTATTATTTCATAGTGATTATTCTCCTCAGTTACCTCCATTCTGATAAATTAAATAGTCGTGAAGTGGATGTGCGTGACTTGTGAATAGTCATCAAGAGTAACTACTGAGGGAACAGTGCAGGTTGCTACAGGATCAAGTAGTTACTTGATTGCTGGTATTGGATGAAAATACCCTGATTCTCTTGCTTTCTTTTTTAGAGCTGTTTATTGGTTTATTTTGAAGTTGTTCAAAATGCATATTTAATTCTAGCCAGTGCAAACTGTTAGCCCTGTTTTGAAATTCTCTATTTCTTTATTCACTCACAAAATATAAGGAGGGCATATTGTATGCAATTTGAAGATTAACTCTGAACTCTGAGAATCAATGAAAAAATTATTAAATATTGAAGAAAGAAGAGCTGGTGTTTTAAGAGACATTAAAGTATAAGTTGCAAGCCTGACTCCTTATGAAAGAATAACATTCTTAAAGGAGCGGAAGGCACTGCTCACACTGTAATATTCATATAAGACTCTGTATATTGACCCTGAGATCCTTTTTCTTGTACAATCTCTTTGTAACTAGTAGAAGAAAGGGGGTGGTATACAGTGGTGGTGGTGGTGTACAGTGGGACTGTGATTGTCCACTGTGATTGTCTAGGAATTTATGTCCTTCAGACTTTCAGATCAGTCTAGGTTACGTTGGAAGGTCTAGAAGTAGCAAAGAGATTGTATTGTACTGTGAAATTTTTTTAGCTCTCATGCAGAATTATAGAAGAAAATTTTACATCTCAAGTGGAAAAACCAAAAATTAGTATCTTTGATTTATCTGCATTCAAATCAGTATCCATGATCACAAACAGTACCCCAATAAAAGATCTCCATCAAGATCTCCACTGTTCCATGTTTGAGTTGGAAATGAGGCTCACTGAAATTCCTCTTTCAAGTATTTTACCTAGATGACTATATATCTCCTATACTGTAGGTGAAAAACTTGTGTACTGGGCAATGTGAGTTACAGAAGGGGCTAAACAAGGGAAAAAAACCCAAGAACTGGTAGCACAAACCTACGAGAATTAAAAATAGAGATTTTTTTGGTATACATATGCTAAATAAATACTCATTAATGAGTAAATAAACTGACCTCTTTAGAAAAGGGACTCCCTCTTCCCCAGCCAGTATCCAGATCATATATGGGTTTATTTGTTATTCTGCAAATTCTGTAAATTGCTGTTGTGCATTGCTTCGGTGTTGTTTTTTTAACTAGTAATTTTCTTATTATAAATAACAGTAATCACATTAGTTCTAGACAAGTGCCTCCTGACAGCAACAGTGCATATTACATTCATTAGCCAAAATGTGACCTCATTTGTTCACTCCAGTTTCTGGTATCAAATTAAAACTTCTCATTACTGTAAATGTATATCATTACACTCTTGCTCAGGTAAGTTATAGCTTAGCTGTACTGTTTTCCCTTGAACATTCATTGTAAAGGTTGTGCAGAACAGCTCTGTTAACTCCCAATGCTCCCTCTAAAGAGGGCATAAAATGGCAGTAGCTCTGTTCCTGTCCCAGAGGTGGGTAAGTTCTTGGTATCTGTTCCTATGCTATCAGAAAGGGCCAAGAACAGACCCCACAGCTTTACCAGCTTAAAAGAGGGCATAAATAACAAGCTTGCCTATTTCTGTATTTGAAGATATAAGGTATGCAAAAAGTGAAATTCTTTCAGGCTTTGGAGACATATTGATCAGACAGTACCAGTGCCTGTTACCCATTAGGAGAGGTTTGCACGAGCATTACAGAAGGTCAACGTGGTTAAGTAGCAACATGAAGGTTACTAGAAATAAGAGCAAAACCTGAAGTGCATCCAGGTGAACTCAGAAAAACATTACACAGTTGGCCAGTGAATTGGTAAAGTGGAACTAGAAAAGACAAAGTAAGGTTTGAAGAGCAACTCACCAGGATAGCTGAGACTGGTTATAAGTACAGATTCTGAACCATGAGGGGCAAAAATCTTCCCAGAGACCCAAGAGTATGAAGAAAATGTGCAAAAAACAGAGTACATTTTTTTCCCACAGAATTTCTTTCAGAAAATTTCAAAATAGTGATCTCAAAGTAGTATTTTCTTAGGAGCCCAGTGAATGTGTGTGTGACTATGTTAGTTTTGAATAATATTTTGCAAGCTTTTTTCTGCAGGTAATCAAGGATTGAACAGTTATTTTTTGTGAGTCTTTGCTCTTTGATGCCAAAAGAGGTGCCCAAATGTACTTTGTATGGTTTTTACATCCTTATTTTGCCAAGTCTTCTGAAGAAGAGATAACTAAATTTTCCTGAAAACTATATTCTTATTTTTTCCCGTTTTGACATTTAATTCTCTTCAAATATTTGTTTACAGCACTTTCAAGTAATGCCTTCTAGTAAAATCATCTGGTTGGTGTGGGAAGGTTGTGAAGGACATTGCTTCCATAGGCTGCTATTACTCATCTGATGAGATTAAAATGAACCCTGTTTAAATGAATAACTGTTAATAAAATTACTCAGTTGTGTACACCAAACAAAAAGATTTGCAGCAATTATCAGATCCCGCTTAAAATATAGAAGTATTTGAACAACGTAGTTGTTCAAAGCAAGCATTCTATGCACCAAAAAGCAAATTGCAGGAATAATTGGAGCTGTGCTGGTAATAAAGCTGCTAATAGAGCCTGAGCACATCAAAGGGCAGCATGCAAACTAATAAAACAAAATCTTTTTCAACAAAGATTGTATTAAGGCAATAACATCTTCTTTCCTTAACAATGTAATGAAGAAATCTAGTTGAGCATGCTGACAGGACTTCGAGCTCCTACAAACACGGATATAAAATGCATAAATAGTCTCTTCCTATATAGGACTCCATTCATCCACCAAAACCTTGGAGTCACAATGTATTAATTTGAAGAGTCAGTTCACGGGCTTGATTCAATGAAGCAATGTCGATGGGTGGCATTAAACTCCTCAACAATGGCATCAGTGGCTGAATCTAAGTATCAAGGAGGAAAATGAAAGTGGGAAAAGTAAAGATAATCTCTACTTATAACACAAAAACCACCAAGACCTATTAGTGGTGATTCTTATATGAAGATCCATGTGCCCTTAATACAGTAGATTCATACTAATAGTTGAGTGTGTGTACAGTTTGGCAGCAAAAGGGACTCTCTTACCCTTACAAATCAGCTGTTTAAATAGAAGCCTGTATTACCATTATGTTATTAAAACAAGCTGGAAGACTGAAACTTTTCCTTGGAAAAAAATAATATTGGATAGGGGAGGGCTGTTTAATCATTTCAGCAGTAGGACAAAAAAAATTACAATGCAAAATTTCCAAAATGCCATTGATGCTTAGAACAATTCAGGACCTCTGGAGCCCTTGTAGATTAATCTGCTGCTCAAAGCAGCATCAGTCAGATCCCATTGCTCCTGGCCATGTCCAGCTGGGTTTTGAATAT